AATAATTTGGTGACACTAATGTTAAAATCTTTGTATCACCATCATCATAAGGTAGGATGATAATTAGCACCCTTAGTATGATCCTTATCTGCTTTTGGTACCATTCTACTGTAAACCTTGTTAAATACCAGAGATAAAATTCCCTATCAAATATCTCTTACTTGACAGTTTTATAAAAGCTTTTCTTAAAATCTTTTCGTGGCCTTTGTGCAAAGAACAGTGCTTTTTATTCATTCATCAGAAAAGTTGTTTATTTTGGAATCTCAAAATATTTGAGCATATATTCAAATGTCATTCCTCAGTTGTGATGTCTCAATTCTTGGTCTTTTTATCGGAGATAGTATAAATTAATATCAGCATTAAGTGTACACTGTATATCTCTTGGGGCTATGAATTCTTTCTCCTTTGCAGGTCCAGCTTATCTTTTGGGGCAATTGTCTCAAGATCCCTCAAGGGGATCCACATTTCAGAAGGGGTCATTGTATCTGAACACATGCCTAAATACTTATTTCAAAAAGGTTCATGATGCTGCTGCATTTACTGTATTCTAAAGAGAAAAAAAGCTAATCTGATAAGGAGGAGTAAGCAGTAAATATGATTCTCTCCTCCATTCCCTTTAGAAGATACTGGGGGGGGGCATGGTAAATGAGAAGGGATTTGCTAATCAGGATATGTCGATGTCTCATGACCGAGCTTGGGCATTTCTGGGGGCATGAAAGGTTCAGCAAAACATGAGAAATGATTGTGAAATTTAACAAGATGAATGATATTTACTGATTAATTGATACTCTTTATGATCACTGTTATTCTTATTGACTATAGCTATTTACTATCATATTAATCACTGTTATTGAATATTTATATCCAGACAATAGTCTGCTTGCTAAAGCGTGGAAATGTTATTGGGGGCAACCCCATTGTTGTACCTACTCTTATCTCAACCCCATCCCCAAACCTCACCCTGAACCCCGATACCTATATTGACCCTATCCCTCTCCTACCTTTATAAAACTTAATAAAATATTCTTTTAAAAAAGAAGAAGAAAGGTTCAGCAAAACATGAAGCTGAAGAAGACAGTTGCATTGCTAAGACCTTGAACTGAGAGGGAAGGACTGTGTGCCTGGGGGTCATTAGACTTGTAGTCCACTGGAGGGTGTCAGTTTTAAGAAAAAAAATCTTCACCTTTTCATTGGATCTCACACCTCCTCCTAAGTAGCTCATAGAGATGATGGAAATTAAGTACATATTAAATTAAATCTATATGAATTCTTTTAATAGCCACAGAAATAGCATGTATCTGAGAACAACATCTGCTCTCAGAACAGGAAAATTTGTGGCAGTGTGGTCAAATTTGTGCAGAAAGGGTCTTTAAAGATCTATTAGATGTGATGACACTCAGTGCTGGTTGCTAAGCAGCAAGAACAGCAGGAGTAGTTCTTTCCCTTATGTTTGTGTGCTTTCCATAAGTATTTGATCATTTGGGCAAGAAGGATGCTGGACTAGCTGAACCTTTGGTATTATCCTGAATAATTTTTCTTTGTAGTCTATTTGCCTTTTGCAGCAAAAGCAGAGGCTAGTAGCAACTTGGAAGTTTTTTGCTCCTACCATTATTGTTAAACAGCAGTACTTTACATAATAACATTTCAACTGATGTATTTTGTCATCAGCTGTTAGATGTACAAGGAAAGACAGTACCTTCTTTTCATAGCAGCGTGCTTTTCTTGGCATAAATTAGTCCCCCACCTCTGTTTTTCTCTCCTGTCCCTTGCCTGAGGCTAACTTTGCTTGCTTTCCCATAGCAGAGTGTGAGAATTGCTAATTAGCCCAGAATTAACCCATAAAGTGATTATCAGGGATCAGTAGAATTGATTTCCAAATATTACTTGTGGAAGGGATATGTGCTGTGGTAGGAAATGTCTTTCAGTTCTCCCAATTCCGTGTATCTCATCAAGCTAACGGGAGAGGCAGACCAGGTGAACAATCACACTTTCCCTTGACTTTTGAGTGCAAAGGTGAGGCACCATATGCAATGAAAGAGGGAATTGGAAAGGAAGCAGGCATGAAATTTGTCAACCATTTTTATTATCTTCTCATCATGCCAAGTTCACTTTCTAATCCTCCTGAAAGGGAAGGGACTAGTTTCTGAAGAGAGAACACCTCATCATGTGTTCAGACTGTAGCATCTCTGAATAAGAGCGCAGAACTAAATAAAAGGGAAAGAGTGAAACATTTGTATGAGTGGACGTACTCTGCATGGCTAGATGGACAGTAGTTTGAAAGTTGATAAGATATTCTCCTAGCCAGCAAAGACCATATTCTTTGTACCCAGAATGACAAAACAGTGGTTTACCTTGGGCTCCAAACCCGTAAGAATCCCTAGAGCCCTTTTCCCTTTGGCGTGACTTTCTTTCCCTCTTCAAAACCTTGATTGCCTAGGCAGCCTGCTTCAGCTGTTCCTCTCCCTCTCTTGTCTTTCCACTTTACTGAAAAATAAATTAGCAGACTAATTAGATGACTATCTTAAGCAGCCAGCAGTTGCTTCCTGCCACAACTCCAGCTGAATACAAGATGATCACAGCAGTTAAAAGAATCCACTTGAGACTTAGAATTGCCCAAGTTAATTTGCCTGCTCCACCTGGGGCAAGTCCCTGGGCCTCTTCCAATGTCAGCTTTTTATTTTGAAGACACGGCTGCCTGAAGATGTAAAAAAAGCAGTAATAAATGATGTAGTATAAATGATGTCTTATTTGGGGGGGCGAGGTTCCAAGCAGCTGAAAAAAAAAAGCATATCAACATTTCACAGGTTGGGCCACCTGTATATTATTTTAATGAACATGATTATATTCCATACACATATGTTGTAACATATATATTAACAATAACATGGGAGATTTCTCATTAATTGCTTGTAGGAAAATATGTGCATATTATCAGCTTCAAGAAGCAGAAGTATTTATTTTGCTTCAAAAACACTGGACTGAGAAACTGAATATACAAATTGTTCTGAGTGTTTTAGTCCCCAAACATCTGGAGAGCAGAAGTAAAAAAAAACTGATGTTGATCCAGATGTGCATCAATATCAGCTATGAGTTATTTTATGCTTTAATACTCTTAGCCAGATTGAGACTTGTTATCTGAAGGGATAGTTTTCTCTGTTTCCATTACTCGGGCTATATGCATTATATAAAATAGTCCTTGGAATTCAAATGGTCTTTTTGGTCCTATTATTTGGGCCTTAGATTTGATTTCTAAATTTGAGATAGGGGTTATGTAGCAGACGTAAGTAGTCCTTGACTTGCCACCATTTAACAACTGCTCAAATTAATGACAGTGCTGAAGAAATGATTTACAAACTGTCCTCACATTTATGACCGCCACAACATCCCTGTGATCATCTAATCAAAATCGGGCACAGCGTAGAATATACAATAGTTGCCATCAAGTGATCACCCTTTGCAATCCAGCTTCCCACAAGCAAAGTCAGTAGAAAAGCCAGATTCACTTAACAACTGTGCAATTCAATGATCATGACAAAAAAGGTGATAAAATTTAACAAAGGAAGTTCTGTTCTCAGTTGCGGTCGTAAGTCAAGGACTACCTGTATGTAGCTTACCTGAAAAGATTACTGATCTTGTACCACTTTCTCTAAGTAATTATATTACTTCTTGTTCGTTTCCATAGCTAATGGCAATAGGAACTCAGCAGGCTCTACACAAGGTCACTGGAAATCTGGAGGTTCCCTTTTTCCCCATTCTCCCATCCGTAGCAATTTAGCCTTCATTAGCTCAGAACTAGTAATGTGTGATGTTCCTTAATTAGTTTATATGTTTTGACTCACAATTTCTGTAAACCCTTGTCATTGGTCAAATAAGTTATGATTCATGAAAATTGGACTAAACAGTTATTGGAGAGACAGCCACTGCTCAAACTTGAACTACCTGATAATTTAGTCAGCAGAAGAAATTTGTTCAGTTGCTGGTATATAAAGCTAAAGCTGGAGAACTGGGCATTTTAATGTTAATCCCAGCTTATTTCTATTTGAAATTTGGCCCAAATTTAATTTCAGTTCTGAAAGCCTATGTGCCTGGATTCAGTGACTTTTGGAATGTTTAATTACAGGGATTGAAATCTTAATATTGATGCTGAATTGGTCCCAATCTGTCTTTCCAGTCATGCTGGAGTTCCACTAGAAAACCAATTTAACTTATTTCAATACTGCTAGTCCTCTATTATGATCACTTGAGACCAGAATTTCTGTTGCTAGGCAGAGTGGTTGTTAAGTGAGTCATGCCCAATTTTATGACCTTTTTGCCATAGTTAAACCAATCACGGCTATTAAATGAATCTTCTGATCATGGAGCAAAACTGGCTTCCCCCCATTGCCTTTGCTTGTCAGACTTGGGAAGGTCATAAATGGTGATCGCATGACTACAGGATGCTGTAACCATCATACATCCATGCTGGTTGCCAGGCCCACAAATTTTGATCACATGATTGTGGAGATGCTGCGATGGGCGTTAAGTGTGAGGGATGGTTGTACAATACTTTTTTGAGAGCTGTTGTAACTTCAAACAGTACTTAAATGAATGGTTGCCAGTTGGATTATTTGTAACCATTATTTGTATTTGTTTCTGTCACATTTCCTCCTGTCTGAAAATCAGAAGTTGTGTCTCTGGAATATTTCACAGAATTTGTAATAAAATTACTCCACACAAACAGATGAACAATAAATATTGGAAGTGCAGTTTGAAGTACAGGTGGTGGAACAGAAGGTTATGGGCTCACTCAATATTGTTTGCCTTATTGGTATGAACGATGGTTTCAGTCCAGAGGTTTTGTCTGTTTTGCTCAGAAAATTTGGTCATGAGGGGATGAAAAATTTAATTGCAGCAAATCCTCCAGCTAAAATGCAAGAGATGCACTCTCTGGTCAAGTGCTGCTTTTTAATAGAATGGACATCAATGAAATGTCTTGTCATTTTTACTTGTCTGTATTTCAGGTAGAGAGCCTAGAAGACAAGTTGACCCTTTGCAGGCAAGCCTTGGAAGAGGTGGATTTTAAGCTACGCAGAGAAGAACTAACATCTGCACGAAGGTACTATTAGAATTTGTTCTGGGTCTCTTCTAACTGCATATATCTGTGGCTTTCACAATATATTGGTTTGATATTATTGTGTGCTGTTCTGGATCAAACAGAGATAAAAATGAGCTTCTCGTTTATTTTAAAAAGGAGTATATTGAATATAGAGGAAAAGACAGAAATACTTCATTGAATTCTCTTCTTTATTGGGAGAGGTTGCTTTATATTTTGGATTTCTGACAGTTCATTTAAATGTTTCTGTGGAGAATGATTTTGCTTTGACTGGACGCTTCACAGGTTGGAAAAAAACTTTGCACAAATACTGTATTATATTCCACTTTCCCAATGCATGATTTCTGCTCTGGCTGTATAGTGTTCACTGTTCAGGTCTAATGAGCTGATAGCCAGATCTTGGTGTATTCAGCCTTTTTGTAAGTTCTGATATGTTAAAATGGGATACAATCTTTGTCTTCCTCTAAAATTTCTTACGCACATTGGGGATTTTGTGCAGCTTCAGCTTGGTTGCTCCTTGAATATATCAAGTTGCAGAACAAAGTTGTTGCTAAGCTCTTGGCCAATCTGTAAACAGAGTTGCTCCTGAGCAATAAGCTGCACTGTCAGACTGAACTCTAAGCAGGAATCAAGCTTCTTATTGTGGCTCTTGGTCCTATGCAGCTAGATGTCACCATGGTTATCGCTTGTTGCTGCTGCTGTTGCCCATCTGTTGCTCCCCAGTTCCTAATCCCATTGCTATCTTTTCTTCTATTGACCCTCTGACCCATATAGTCTCTAGGTTAACTTTCCTTTTTCTATGCTGAGGGTATAGGTGGGGCAAGATGGGATGTTGGCCTATTCTTGAAAAAGCTGGGGTGTGGCTAATCTAGCCAGCTATGCATGCTATTATGCCTGTCAAAAGACCTGGATGTGGGCGGTTAGCTGGCCCAGATACAGTTAATGAATGCCTGTCAGTAGGTTTTTGCCAGTTAGCTCACCAGCAAAGCTAGCTCCTTCATTTGGCTTTCTGGCAAAGCCAGGACAGCAGTAATTCTCACATCCTTATCTCCAGAGGGATGTGAGGAGGGAGGAAGAAATTAGCTCAACTCAGCTTTGGGAAGGTCAAGAGAGGGCTACTTTAGTGCTGTTCTCCCCAATGCAGAGGAGCCCTTTCAACCATGCTTTCCCTCACAGTTTCCTTTCTAAACCATCTTTTTGCTGCTGAGATGTTTTCCTCCCATTAGTACTTAGAAGCCATTTAGAGTAGCTTCTGCCCTCCAGCTGCCTAGAATTTCATATTTTGCAGCACTTTATTTCCTCTAAGTATAATAAAAAATTCTTGATTATATTACATAAATTGTAGAGTTAAAGTAAGATAATCCAAAGCTAGAACTTCCCTAATAGATATTTTTCTTTTACAAAATTTTTTTCCTTGTATAAAAATTTCCCTTGACACCCCCCCCCCCCAAAATTAACATTTCTATACCTTGAGTCCACTAGGCATAATTTTGCCTTCTAAATCAGCAGAAAACAATTTGCCTTTCATCCATACAAGGTATCTAGAGATTGCTTACTGAGGCTCCTATTGACCTAAATCAGGGATCTGCAACCTTGACAACTTTAAGACTTGTGGACTTCAGTTCCCAGAATTCAGCTATGCTGGCTGAGGAATTCTGGGAGCTGAAGTCCACAAGTCTTAAAGTTGTCAAGGTTGCAGACTCCTGACCTAAATAAACAAGCCCAATTACTCCTTTCTATTTAGGCATAATTTTCCACCTTGTCTGTTACCTTCCTCTAAACCTGTGCCAATTTATTTACAATGTATCTGTCCTGAAGAACCCCAAACTGAACAAATGCTTCATTGAAGTTTATGCTACCATAGAATAAAGTGGGGCTCTACTTTTAAAGAAGAAAAGCTATAAAAGTAAATTAATTGGTCCTCGGTAATTTTAGAGATTTAAAGTCCTGTCAGTCCAAGCAGAAGCTATTCTATTCATAGTTATTCCTTGGCTTTTTATTGTACCAGTAGCATCTTGTCACCTCAGAGTCACTTTCTGGTGTCAACCTAGAACTAAGGAGAAATTTCCTGACAGTTAGAACAATTAACCAATGGAACAACTTGCCTCCAGAAGCAGTGAATGCTCCAACACTGGAAGTTTTTAAGAAGAGACTGGACAGCCATTTGTATGAAATGGTATAGGGTTTCCTGCCTGAGCAGGGGGTTGGACTAGATGACCTCCAAGGTCCCTTCCAACTACTATTACTACTACTACTACTACTACTACTACTACTACTACTACTATTATTATTATTATTATTATTATTACTATGACATGAACCTCAGTCAACTGAACATTCAAAACTGACTGGCGCTGATGATTGACATGATGAAATATTCTGTGGGATTGGACTAAAGGCTTTATTCTGCTCCGCTTTCCGGATTGTGGGAAACTCATAAATACCATATCAAAGAACTAAACTTTCTCTGTTTATGTTCCTCAACAATTTTATTCAGGGGCATTTGGTGTTACTGAAAACAGTACACAGCCATCACAAATAATTTAGTCTTCCTGTGACATCCACCCTAGGAGAAGGCATATGGATTACAAAGTTGGGGTTCCATTTCATTCCAATTCTCAAATTACTCTTCATCTCTATTTCTCAAGATTTTTTTATATAGTCCTCGACTTACAACCACAATTGAGCCCAAAATTTATGTTGCTGAGAAATTTGTTAAGTGAGTTTTGCCCCATTTTACGACTTTTCTTGCCACATTTGTTAAGTGAATCAGTGCAGTTGTTAAATTAGTATCACCATTGTTAAGAAAATCTGGCTTCTCCATTAACTTTGCTTGTCAGGTCACCAAAGGTGATCACATGCCCCTGGGACACTGCAACCATCATGAATGTGAACCAGTTGTCAAGCATCCGAATGTAAATCACATGACCCTGGGAGTACTGCCATGGTCGTAAGTATGAAAAATGGTCATAAGTCGCTTTTTTCAGTGCCATTGTAACTTTGAACGGTCACTGCGTGAACGGTTGTAAGTTGAGGACTACCTGTATTAGACACTCAGTAATTGTAGAATTGTCTCAATTTGTCTGTTTTTTTTCTTCCTATACACTTCTAAGAGTCCCGCTTTTGCTTTTCCAATATAACTTTATCCTGCGCTTCACCCTTAATTCACTCTGTGATCTAGTTTGGCACCATTTTCACTCTGGCTCTTATTTTATCTCTAGGGACATGTACTTACTGCCTTTCCTAACTATACTAGAGAGCTTACTTGGAACTGGCAAACAAACTGCTGGTGTATATTTATTTCCAGCTACACCACTGCTGCTGTGTTTTCTGTGTTGTTATGTGTTTTCTGTGTTATAATGGAGCTGTTGATAGATTACTTTCAGATGCTTTGTTTTGTTCTCTGTGCTTTAAACTATGGATTAATTTTGTGCCAACAATATAAATCTTGGGATTAATTCCTTCTTGTTTTAAAATTGAGTTTTTTATTTAGCTACAAGTTTTATAAAAATGAAGCAGGATTAAAATGTGTATAGATTTCACCCAACATGCACAAAAAAGGATTCCAAGCTGAATGTTTCATATTGTAAAGGCAGGCAAGAGTTTAAAAATGAGAGAAAAAGATCAAAATTTTTCTTTTGAGAGAATTTCATTGTCCCATTTCCATGGCTTTTCTAAAAACTCTTTTAAGGGGATGAACAAACTTGGTTTTAATCGTTACATATAGCAAACACTGTAACAATTCACAAGTCAATTATGTCACTTCCAAATCAGAGAAGGAACCATAAGACTGATTTTAAAAAAAAATGTGTGCAGGAAAATTAACATAGCAAAATGAAAGCATGTTCAAAGGAACACTTAGTCATCTTCCAGCAAACAAGTAATATAACTAGGTTGTCATCTCATCTGCTGCTGTAGGAGCTAACTAGATCTTTGTGGGCCAGAGATCTTCATTATTTTTTTTCCCTAAGTCTGTCTTTCCCACTTCCTTGCAGAGAGTCACTGGAAAAAGAGAAAAACATGCTAGAAACCAAAGCCGAAATTTATGGTAAGAAATATATGCAATAAGTTTTCCTGTTATGGTGCCGTTCGGATAGCTTGGATGTCACCCACCAGAATTTCCAGCCAAGAATTGCTGGAAGATACCACATTCGGGAAGTAATTAAGGTAATTTCCTCTGAAACTGAAAAAATGCATTCAAAGTTATCTGAGATGGAAACAGAGTTTTTTAAATAATATATTATAAATATGCTTTAAAAAGTTTACAAATTCCTTGATGCGTTAGAAATCTCACACTTTGTGACAATAGTCATATATTTGCCTGTCTACACTTCTGTGGAGTTAACATTTTCAAAAAAGAACTGCAGGTAAATAAAAACTACAATCCAGAAAGGTGCAGAAGACACCATTAAAATGATTTTTTACACATCTGGAAGGTTCAAGAGGTCCCTCCATTTAATTTGTAGGTGCAGAGGCAGATAAGGAGGTTTGGCAGCATTTATAGCACAAGTCAATGAAGAAGTGAGAGAAGTGGTTTCTGCCTATTCTGGCAGAAAACAACTGTTATAAGTTGCTATAACCGAAATACCTACGTAACCTCTAATGTTCACTGGCCTTGCTGTGTATCCCATCATTAAGAGGAGATTCTTGATCTAGGACCTTTTTTATAGCATTGCTCCATTTATGGGGCTCCCTCACCAAGAAACTCAAGCTCATTTTAATCTAGGCAGAATGTAAATCTGTGTCATTTACACTGAGCTGTTATAAGTGTTAAAAGTCAAGAGCATCAATGGAGATTTTTAAAAATGGCTTTATTACATTTTAAATCTGCCCAGAGCAATGCACAAAACAATTAAAGAATACTTAAATAAATATAAATAAAATGCACGTCTCCTGACCTAGAAAATTGGACTCTCAGGACTACTTAGATTTAGATGTGCAGCAATTTCTTTATCACTTGGATTTCTTTAAAGAGAATACACTTACGTTTTGTACCCCAGTAGCAGAATTTGGAGATCATCTGTTCTTATTTGTTTACATGCAATATTTGTATACTGCTGAATCTCTATGGACTTTACAAAAATAGACAATTTATAATCACTAAAAACAAGATTCAAAATCTGTCCCAGTATGCCAACAAATGATCACCATTTGTTTTGAGAATCCTCAATAATATCACTTAAGATTACATATTAAAACATCTCCATATAGACTCTGTTTTGACTGTGCTTCTAAATATAATCAGGGAGAATGCCATCAGTATCTCTGTGGATAGAGTGTTTCATAGGCATGAAACATAATGCGGATAAACACCATGCTCAAGATGCTGCTGAGGGGAGAGGGCCCTCAGCATCCCAGCTCAAGATAAATATATCTGAAGGACCTGAAGGTGTTAAGCCAGAAAGATCTGCATGGGTTAAAACCAACACTTCGAAGCATATTGGAGCCATTGTAGTGCCCATAAAACCTCAATGCTTCTATATGCAGCACTGATAACTGTCATCCAGCAGCATGTGGGACTTGCATTTTGCATCAATTACAGCTTCCAGGTGGCCTTCAAAAGCAGCTCCAGGCAGTGTTACACTCTAGAGGTGATAATAGCCTCCAGATACTGCCTGCACTTCATGCTCCAGAAAGAACCAGTACACCAGTTATAGCAGGGGAAAGACCCTTCATCTCCACCTACCTATCTGACAAAGTGCTACATAAACAAAATGGGCCAATCACTTTACAATACTTCTTACAGCTGTCTGAACAGGTATAAACCCTCTTATTTGAGATTTGAAAATGACCAAGCTACTGACAAGAAATGATACTTGGAGGAGAATACCTATTAAATGTTATGACAGTCAAAACAGGTGCTTTTTATCTGTCTCTTCTCATTTATTTGTTTTTTCCTTTTTTCATACTGCTCCAGGGCAGACTTAAAATACATTTCTGGGTACTTGTGCAAAACAAATGTAATTTGACACTTCAGTTATTTGAAGTAATGTGTGCCACTAGATGTGCTTGACCTCTTCTATAGTGAAGTGATTTTAGTTCCATATTAGAAATAAGTACACATGCTCTAAAAATACAAGTGAAAAGAATTGTTGATTTTAATAAAGCTTTCTACAAGTTAAGGGCATTAACCTGTCTTGAGAAAACAGGCTATCTTCAGAAGCTACATTAAGTTCACTGCAAAGAAATTCTGCATTGAGTCTTCCTTATAATAAAGGGAGTATAAAATAGTCTATCTTATCTTGGCACTCCTTTTGTCCATCAAAGGGAAATGGTTGTTTAGCGGTACCTTTGGGGAAACTAGTTTGTATAGGATACACTTCTATCAGATTTGTCCAGCATAAGAACTATAAATAGAAGCAGTGATGATGCTTCCCAATTCTGGATGCCCTGTGGTGAGAAGACGCTTGCACTTACATTTGATTCTGCATAAAACATTAGAAAGCATAGCTAGAGTAGCCTTCTGATAAAATAAGAACACGAATCTTCCAAAACAGCGTTCATGTTTTCATTTGTGGATACTCCAGATAAAAAGGAAGCCATTAGGATAAAGCTTTTTGGTTGAAGAGGAGCTATCTTTTACAAGTTGTGGCTCCCCAGATGGGTAAATTTAATGCATTCCTCATCATTTGCATGCTATGTGGCATTGCTGAGAACTCTACTTCAATTGCATGGGGGGGGGGAACTGTGAGTTCCCAGCTCCTGGCTAAACAAAACTTTGCTTTGTATCAGACTATATCTTAAAATCTCCTGCCCCAGAAAGGAACACAGTATCTCAGGATCAAGAGGTGATTGGAGACAGAGTTGAGTAATTGGCTGCTACAGCAGCAAGCGGTACAAAGATAAAGTCAATACAGCCTAATTGGGAAGAAACAGAAGAGTCTCAGAACTCCTGGAAAGGAATTCACAGTCAGTAGTTGCTGTGAAGAATCAAAATATCTCCCCTTCCTCCAAAGTGTCTCTCTGTAGCAGGAAATTATCAAAGAACAGCATTAGATCCGGAACTAAGTTCAAAGGCATTAGCAGGGAAGAGCACTGACACAAGGCGTCATCATGCCAGGATTTTATTTTATTTTATTTTTGCATTTCAGAAGGGCACAGACTAGTTAACGTTGCCTAAAGCTGGAAAGAATACTGTATATGCCGCGTACAAGGCGACCCGGCGTATAAGACGACCCCCGTCTTTATCGCCGGGCCGCATTCCTAGAATGTCGTCTTATACGCCAGAAACTACCAGTATTTCCGGCGTATAAGACGACTCGGCGTATAAGATGACCCCCGTCTTTGGCGCCGATTTCAGCGCTCGCGGAAGTCACCTTATACGCCGGCATTTACGGTACTCAAAAGGTTAAAGCGTTTTTTAACTTTTGTATATAGGTAATTGGACAGACATACACCGTATTGGATGTTTTATCATTGTACACCCATTGTTTAAATCAGCAATTTTAATTGTGAAACATTGCTAATTGAGCAATGGATGCATTTTCACAGTAACAAAGTATTGAAGATTAGGCAAAGAAAAATGAGTGGTTTGTTTTAAAAAAGGTGACAGGTAGCCAATTGCTTTCCAGACTTGCCTTTTTTTTCCTTCTTCCATAGATGCAGGACTGGGCTAGTACCTTTGACAGCATAAATACTGTGTTAATTCTTGCTTTTCTTTGCTGTATGGGAAGGTCCTAATGGATAATTGTTTTCCTACTATCTGTCCTTGGCTGGTTAGGTTGCACTGCCACCTGCTGGAATTTTGAAAATTTCAGTATATTTTTCACGTTCTATATTTGAAAATATTTTTCAACACATAAGATTGTATCTTAGAATCTGAAAGTAGCACCCATATTTGTAAATGTCTGTAGCCTCCATGAAAATTCATTACTGATTAAAAATCTGAATTATAAAATCTGGGGCATTTTAACTGCCTCATCTTGTATAAGATTTTAAACAGTGTTGCTGGTTGTTAGCAATATTTTCTAGGGCCCAATTAACTTTCAAGATTTTCTAACTGTAGTTCAACTGTACTTTTTGAAATCTTTTTATACTATTCTTCCATATATTCATGGCTCTTTATATCTGTCTACAATACAATTTTATCATTTTTGTTTTTTATTATGCCCATATCTATATAAAATCTTCCTTGGATTTCTATAAATTTCCAAAATAATATTTAATCTTGTTTACTTTTTTTTTTTTTTTTGCACTGCTTGTTTTATGTGGAACTTTGTCTCTTTTTGCTCAACTGTGGAACTTAGTACTTAGGAAGGCAAATAGCCCTGGCCCTTGTTGAAGCTACTCAATTAATAGTAAATACATATTATATGAGGATTTATTTTTAAAAAAAAAATGAAGAAAATTAATAACCACCTTGCTGCAATATTATCTAGGAATGGTTCTGGGTTGGATTTTTTCCCCTCTAACAATTAATTTGCAGTATTTTCATGCCCACAATCAATACTACATTGCAGAAAGAGTCAGCATTCAAAAGCCCGGAGAAGGAGGAGAAAGAATCCCATAATAAATCTGGAGCTGCCATTCAGCCAAGGGCTAGAGACCTTTTGCCCATGTTTTAATGCACTGAGCTCTTCACACTAAAGCTGCCTCCCTTAGGGAGCTGGCAAATATAAAGGGACATCTGCCTGAGCTGTTATATTAACACCCAAGACTTCCCATTAAAATCATACTCCTCTGGCAGTCCCACGTTGAACTGCACTGACCTCTGCTGCCACTGCAGTCAGTAACAATGATTCTGTTGTCAAATAAGCCGTCCCCAAACTCTGACCTCTTCCAGAAATTACAAAAGCACTGAAATGGTCTCTGAATGGGCTTGATTGCTGTATAGCAGCAGAAAATAGATATATGAAAACGGTATAGTGCAGAAGTTGAATAGCCTTTGACTTTATTTTAAAGGAGCTTTTTATTACATTTGTACGTCACCCTTACCCTGAGGAACTACGAATATACAGAATGAAATTTAGCACCGTACTATAAAATGGGATTTCTTTTTCCCTTGTGGCAAGTCCTCATATACCTAGATTATATAGATCAGCCTGCACA